CAGAGAGAAAAGTCAATTTTGGTCAAAAAATTACTAAGGCATAAGACTTATGTTTATGGTCAAAAATTTGATTTTGCTGAAAATCTCAGTATATGTACTCCTAAGCATGCTGAATGCAAAGCTATGATCCTCGTTTCGATTGGGGGGTAATTAGTGGCCTTAATGAGGCTTGGAGTATTTTTAGGAATTTTTCAATGCTTAGGACTTTTTCTAAGCCAATTTCTGCCCAACTATGGGTTTCCCAGGTGAGATTTTGGTGTTTTTGTGTTCTTCTGGAAGTAATTAATTGGTTAAACCTCTCAAATTTCAATTCCGAGAGAAAAGTCAATTTTGGTCTAAAAAGTATTAAGGCATTAGACTTATGTTTTTGGTCAAAAATGTGATTTTGCTGAAAATCTCAGTATATGTACTCCTGAGCATGCTGAATGCAAAGCTATGAACCTCGTTTCGATTGGGGGGTAATTAGTGGCCTTAATGAGGCCAGGAGTATTTTTAGGACTTTTTCAATGCTTAGGAATTTTTCAAAGCTAATTTCTACCGAACTATGGGTTTCCCAGGTGAAATTTTGGTGTTTTTGTGTTCTTCTGGAAGTAATTAATTGGTTAAACCCCTCAAATTTCAATTCCGAGAGAAAAGTCAATTTTGGTCAAAAAATTACTAAGGCATAAGACTTATGTTTTTGGTCAAAAATTTGATTTTGCTGAAAATCTCAGTATATGTACTCCTGAGCATGCTGATTGCAAAGCTGTGATCCTCGTTTCGATTGGGGGGTAATTAGTGGCCTTAATGAGGCTTGTAGTATTTTTAGGACATTTTCAATGCTTAGGACTTTTTCAAAGCTAATTACTAGCCAACTATGGGTTTCCCAGGTGAGATTTTGGTGTTTTTGTGTTCTTCTGGAAGTAATTAATTGGTTAAACCCCTCAAATTTCAATTCCGAGAGAAAAGTCAATTTTGGTCAAAAAATTACTAAGGCATAAGACTTATGTTTTTTGTCAAAAATTTGATTTTGCTGAAAATCTCAGTATATGTACTCCTGAGCATGCTGAATGCAATGCTATGATCCTCGTTTCGATTGGGGGGTAATTAGTGGCCTTAATGAGGCCAGGAGTATTTTTAGGACTTTTTCAATGCTTAGGAATTTTTCAAAGCTAATTACTAGCCAACTATGGGTTTCCCAGGTGAAATTTTGGTGTTTTTGTGTTCTTCTGGAAGTAATTAATTGGTTAAACCCCTCAAATTTCAATTCGGAGAGAAAAGTCAATTTTGGTCAAAAAATTACTAAGGCATAAGACTTATGTTTTTGGTCAAAAATTTGATTTTGCTGAAAATCTCAGTATATGTACTCCTTTGCATGCTGATTGCAAAGCTGTGATCCTCGTTTCGATTGGGGGGTAATTAGTGGCCTTAATGAGGCCAGGAGTATTTTTAGGACATTTTCAATGCTTAGGAATTTTTCAAAGCTAATTACTAGCCAACTATGGGTTTCCCAGGTGAAATTTTGGTGTTTTTGTGTTCTTCTGGAAGTAATTAATTGGTTAAACCCCTCAAATTTCAATTCCGAGAGAAAAGTCAATTTTGGTCAAAAAATTACTAAGGCATAAGACTTATGTTTTTGGTCAAAAATTCGATTTTGCTTAAAATCTCAGTATATGTACTCCTGAGCATGCTGAATGCAAAGCTATGATCCTCGTTTCGATTGGGGGGTAATTAGTGGCCTTAATGAGGCTTGGAGTATTTTTAGGACTTTTTCAATGCTTAGGACTTTTTCTAAGCTAATTTCTGCCCAACTATGGGTTTCCCAGGTGAGATTTTGGTGTTTTTGTGTTCTTCTGGAAGTAATTAATTGGTTAAACCCCTCAAATTTCAATTCCGAGAGAAAAGTCAATTTTGGTCTAAAAATTATTAAGGCATAAGACTTATGTTTTTGGTCAAAAATTTGATTTTGCTGAAAATCTCAGTATATGTACTCCTGAGCATGCTGAATGCAAAGCTATTATCCTCGTTTCGATTGGGGGGTAATTAGTCACCTTAATGAGGCTTGGAGTATTTTTAGGACTGTTTCAATGCTTAGGACTTTTTCAAAGCTAATTACTAGCCAACTATGGGTTTCCCAGGTGAAATTTTGTTGTTTTTCTGTTCTTCTGGAAGTAGTTAATTGGTTAAACCCCTCAAATTTCAATTCAGAGAGAAAAGTCAATTTTGGTCAAAAAATTACTAAGGCATAAGACTTATGTTTATGGTCAAAAATTTGATTTTGCTGAAAATCTCAGTATATGTACTCCTGAGAATGCTGAATGCAAACCTATGATCCTCGTTTCGATTGGGGGGTCATTTGTGGCCTTAATGAGGCTTGGAGTATTTTTAGGACTTTTTCAATGCTTAGGACTTTTTCTAAGCTAATTTCTGCCCAACTATGGGTTTCCCAGGTGAGATTTTGGTGTTTTTGTGTTCTTCTGGAAGTAATTTATTGGTTAAACCATTCAAATTTCAATTCCGAGAGAAAAGTCAATTTTGGTCTAAAAAGTATTAAGGCATAAGACTTATGTTTTTGGTCAAAAATTTGATTTTGCTGAAAATCTCAGTATATGTACTCCTGAGCATGCTGAATGCAAAGCTATGAACCTCGTTTCGATTGGGGGGTAATTAGTGGCCTTAATGAGGCCAGGAGTATTTTTAGGACTTTTTCAATGCTTAGGAATTTTTCAAAGCTAATTTCTACCGAACTATGGGTTTCCCAGGTGAAATTTTGGTGTTTTTCTGTTCTTCTGGAAGTAATTAATTGGTTAAACCCCTCAAATTTCAATTCCGAGAGAAAAGTCAATTTTAGTCAAAAAATTACTAAGGCATAAGACTTATGTTTTTTGTCAAAAATTTGATTTTGCTGAAAATCTCAGTATATGTACTCCTGAGCATGCTGAATGCAAAGCTATGATCCTCGTTTCGATTGGGGGGTAATTAGTGGCCTTAATGAGGCTTTGTAGTATTTTAGGACATTTTCAATGCTTAGACTTTTTCTGCTAATTACTAGCCAACTATGGGTTTCCCAGGTGAGATTTTGGTGTTTTTGTGTTCTTCGGAAGTAATTAATTGGTTAAACCCCTCAAATTTCAATTCCGAGAGAAAAGTCAATTTTGGTCAAAAAATTACTAAGGCATAAGACTTATGTTTTTGTCAAAAATTTGATTTTGCTGAAAATCTCAGTATATGTACTCCTGAGCATGCTGAATGCAAGCTATGATCCTCGTTTCGATTGGGGGGTAATTAGTGGCCTTAATGAGGCCAGGAGTATTTTTAGGACTTTTTCAATGCTTAGGAATTTTTCAAAGCTAATTACTAGCCAACTATGGGTTTCCCAGGTGAAATTTTGGTGTTTTTGTGTTCTTCTGGAAGTAATTAATTGGTTAAACCCCTCAAATTTCAATTCCGAGAGAAAAGTCAATTTGGTCAAAAAATTACTAAGGCATAAGACTTATGTTTTTGGTCAAAAATTTGATTTTGCTGAAAATCTCAGTATATGTACTCCTGAGCATGCTGAATGCAAAGCTATGATCCTCGTTTCGATTGGGGGGTAATTAGTGGCCTTAATGAGGCTAGGAGTATTCTTAGGACTTTTTCAATGCTTAGGAATTTTTCAAAGCTAATTTCTACCGAACTATGGGTTTCCCAGGTGAAATTTTGGTGTTTTTCTGTTCTTCTGGAAGTAGTTAATTGGTTAAACCCCTCAAATTTCAATTCAGAGAGAAAAGTCAATTTTGGTCAAAAAATTACTAAGGCATAAGACTTATGTTTATGGTCAAAAATTTGATTTTGCTGAAAATCTCAGTATACGTACTCCTGAGCATGCTGAATGCAAAGCTATGATCCTCGTTTCGATTGGAGGGTAATTAGTCGCCTTAATGAGGCTTGGAGTATTTTTAGGACTTTTTCAATGCTTAGGACTTTTTCAAAGCTAATTACTAGCCAACTATGGGTTTCCCAGGTGAAATTTTGTTGTTTTTCTGTTCTTCTGGAAGTAATTAATTGGTTAAACCCCTCAAATTTCAATTCCGAGAGAAAAGTCAATTTTGGTCAAAAAATTACTAAGGCATAAGACTTATGTTTATGGTCAAAAATTTGATTTTCCTGAAAATCTCAGTATATGTACTCCTGAGCATGCTGAATGCAAAGTACTAATGGTTTCCAAAGTTAGCGAAAACGCTAATCCGCTACCTAGAAAGTTAGCTTCGCTAATTAGCGGAACCGTGCCCACCACTGTTTGTGTCTACACACACACACACACACACACACATACAATACAGGTAAAAGAAATTGCTGTCTCTAGAACGAATGACTCCCTGTCCCGGCCGCTAAAGTGCCAGTAACTTTAAAATTACCCTTAGACATTCTTAGGTACATCCAGGGTGACATCCTCGAATAATTAATCGAGGTCCGCAAATTGTCAGGGCATGCTGTAATAACAAATAATAATGATTTTAGCATCATAAAACTTGTATTTCTTTTCTTAGTCATTTAAAGATTGAGTGTCCCACTGCCCTAACATGAATTCATGGAAAGCATCATTCTTAAAAGACATAGCTTCTACATAGAAAGGGTCTGACTACATTCCAAGACCTCCTCACCTCCTTCACCAGTTTTTTTATCCCTCATAAAAATTTCCTTCTTCCTTTGGTGCCATCAGTTGTGTTGTGATAAATTTTCATCATCAACCCGCTGTCCATCATGGCCCACTCACTTTCATGTTTACTCCCTTTCTGTGTGTATGACAAGAATATTTCATTCAGAATTATATGGGTTGGCATTAGGGTGCTGGTTCCCATAAAATGAGAATTTATAGTACAGTAACAGAAAAAGCTGGGATATATCTAGTTCTTAATCTGCGTCATTGTGTTAGTGTGTCAAAGCAAGTCATGATGCTTATCTTGCTTGATCACCTGTCTCAGGTGTGTTTTAATCTGTAATATATGTACATCATATGATGTGGGATTCTTTTTTTACAGGCTCTTTTAAGTGGGAGACTGGATGTGCTTCTGGAACTGTATACAATGGAAACCAGGCTCTCACTGACATAATGACCAAAGTTTATGGTAAGTTCAACTTTTCCTCAAATACTTGCATCAAGGAGTATTATAACAAGTCCTATGTCTTAAGTTTTCTCATCATTTAGAATTTAATTTGGTTCTTGAGTGTTGGATGTATCATCTCAACCCTCATCATCACTCTAATTCCTCTTACCTTTGTATTTCCTTAATTATTTGTGTTGCATCATGATGTAAATCTTTGAAATTGCTTTCCCTCAGGAATGTCAGCTTGGACAAACCCTCTCCACCCAGATGTCTTTCCGGGAGTAAGGAAAATGGAGGCAGAAGTGGTGCGCATGTGCTGTGCAATGTATAATGGAGACAGCAAGTCTTGTGGTTGTGTAAGTATGCCATTGTATGCAAAAGCCTTCAATGCCCTTGATCCTTCCTTGTAACCTTACTGAATATACAGCTGAATGATTGAAAAGGGATCACAGAGAGAGCCTAACAATGAGGTACAGTACTGTGAATATTCTTATTCTCAGCACATTTGGAGGGAAACAAAGAGATTAAGGTTGATGGTATTTTTCTGTCAAATGTGATTACTGTTGCCATGAGAGTGATAACGATGTACTTACAGCAGAGGCAGCAACAGCAGGATTATAAGAACCTTGAGCTCGTGCCACTGCTTATTATGACCATCAGGTCTTAAAAGAAATACCCTATTTCTGGTCTGTCACCAAGAGGGACTATAAAAAGGTACAGATATAAACTATGTACTGATAACAAATATTAAAACATACAAAGTAATACAAAAGGGAGAAAATTACACTTTACATTACAATAAACAATATTACATTAGCACATAAACACTTACACTAAACACTAAAATTATACCACCTTGTCACATACCCACATACGTGTCTGAGGGAGGAACTACACACTCGGTAGAATAGATACGAGATCTATTCTCCCTATCAATACTCAGCCTTCTTTCACTCTAGAGGAATGAAGTTCCAACAGTCTGTCACACTGAGGACACACAGCAGGGGAACACCACATCAGAGAACACAGCGAAGTCCAAGAGATGAGCAGCCAACCCAGGCGAGGAATAGCTAGTTACCAACTGGCTTACACCACACTTTGATATTGAAACAATTTATTTAGCCAGAAATATAAAGATACAGTACAGAGTTAACAGTAATAATAACATTGACATGGCTGAGGCAATTGAGAACCTGAGCTTTCTTGGTGACAACAAGGATAAGTCAGAAAGAGTTGAATCAGGATTAGTCGCGTTCTCTGATTCAAGAATTGGACGGGGGCTAACAACTCCTTGGGTCGTAACAAAGTGCATTCTATAGATTCCTGAATGCTCCCAGCTCTCTCTTTCTCTCTCAAAACTTGTAATTGTTACCAGCCTAAAGAGAAATAATTATTAGGCTCAGTTTACTGCATTGTTCCTTACATCTGTTCACTAGCTGTCTTTTTATAGTCTGTGGGAGTCCTAGTGTGCCAGCCAAATAGCTGATAGGCACCAATTGATACTGATCCAGCAGGACAGTGCAGTCATTATTGTAACATCAGTCCTCCAAGACCAGTTAGGCTCTGCCAGGAAGTGTTCTTGTTGCCAAATTTTGTAGGTCGCTCATCTGTTCCCTTTTATTATAACATAAGATTATATATGTCAATCCTTATGTCGTAAATAGTACCTACAGTTGTTTTTCATTCCTCTGCATGCATATAAACTTGAGGGTTATGAACTGACCTGATGAAATTCACAAAACTTCAGGATCATCCCATAATCAGAAGAAACTATTGAGGTGTGAAAGCTCATCTATTGTTTATTGTGTTACAGATGACAACCGGTGGTACAGAAAGCATCATCTTAGCATGCAAAGCTTATCGGGATTATGCAATCAATGTGAAAGGTGTTAAGTCACCAGAGATGCTTGTTCCAGTGTCTGCTCACGCAGCTTTTGACAAAGGTAAAAATGTACAATAACGTTGTGTTATCTTGGTTTTATTCCTCAGGATAATTTTCAGAGATATTTTTGGTATAAGCATCAGGGGTATCAAATGCCTGTCTGGTAATCTCATCTCTAATGGTGTATTAAGAAGTCCTTTCAGCAAGAATTTAAAATGTTGTCATTCAAGAGTTGTTAAAAAAGCCTGTGAAATCTATAATATACAAAACAGGTGTACCCCGAATACAGGTGTACCAATGTCCCGTTAACTGCTGCATCGCATCACTGACAATTACATATTAGGGAAATACCCCGCAAGTTTTGTTGATACACCGGAGATCTGATGATCAGGATAGGAACGGCAGAGCTGTTTTGAATTTGGCTGGCGGTGGCTTTGTGCGAATTCTTACCACCAGAGGGCTCTGTGCACTGCCCCGACTCATTCCTGCCTTCTTTGCTCGTTTGCACTTACTTTTTGTCTCTGACTTTGTGTTTTTTCATTATTTCTGACTCAGTGTGTTACTCAATTTTGCCTAAATGCCCCAGTGATAGTTCCACTTGTGCTGGACAGCTTGATGTGATGTGATAATGCATAATAAGCCATAATTAGGTGTAATAAGAGTGGTGATGGACCAGCAAAGAGTGATAGAGACTTGAACTTGCCACCCTAAACCGTCTCTACCATCCTCAATACGGTACAGGTAAATAACAGTCTCAATTTATGGTTTGCATTGCTTATTTAAGGCTTATTATGCTTGCTTTATTTTCATGCTTGAAAATTTGCATGACAGAGATATATTAAGGGTAGATGAGAGTTTTTGGAGGGTGGCCAGTCCCTAACCCCTTGAATTTGTTTTATTCTTATGAGATTAATTGCTTTGATAAACATTGATTCACTATCCAACGACTTTTCCCTGTCCACCATATGCGTCGGTTATCAGGTAACATGTGACTGCAGAATATTATATCAGTACTGATCCCTGCACTGGTGAAACAATCTTTTAAGGAAATTTTACTCCAATATACAGAACTACTGCCTTCATATAGCATCCATTGTGCAGTAATTCCCCACAGATCCTTGAAGTTCACTAATACAATGTGTGAAGTTATCTTCTTATGGGAAATACAGGTGAACTACAGTACAGTATTGAGTGAAGTGACATGATGGGTACAAATGCAGCATTTTTTACCATCCTTGTCACTTCATACCTTTTGCCGTCAGCTGTCAGGGCAAGGTATGAAAATAATTTTGTACTTTGAACAATGCTGTGTTAAGACTCAATATGGATTAAATGTTAGAGCTGCCACACCCATCAGTGATTAGGCTGATCCATTCATATTCACTGACTGTATCCTGTTGTGATCATTAATAAATTACTTAAGTTAGATTTTCATGCTGTTCAAGTGGTTTATGTATGTTTTAATGCTTATAAAATCTTCAGTTTTTGGATTTTCATTTTATGACCATTGGTAGCACATATATTTTATAAACAAAATTTTCAGGTCTTTCTATTGAGCAGAGGTACATACAGTATAAGAACAAAAGACTAAGAGACAATAAATGATGTTAGTGATTAAGCCTGGACCCCCATTTTCATTAGAAAATTCCAATACTTTTCTTTAATGCAGTATTGTACTGAGGCATTTTTGTATAGTAAAAAGTATGTAATTATCATTGACCTCAGAGTATCTCCTAATATCAAGTACACATTGCCTAAAAATGGCCTCAAAATGCCCATGATATTGGTCAGATGTCAAAAGTTTTCTGGGGGAGGCTTACAGCACCCCTAATCCCCCAACCTCCAGTTGGGTGGGCATCTGTGTTCATCATGTTCCCCCACCTACAACTTCTTGGACCCCCCCTTTTGATATTCCTGGATCTGCCCCTGCCCTGTTTACAGTATATGAAGTATAGGAAATGAGGAGAGATTATGAATGAAAACAAAGAAAGTAAACTACAGTACTGTATGAGCATAGTAAGAAGATGCTTTGGAGTGGAACAAAGAAGGTAAGAAAAGGAAAAGAGAATAGGTATGTAGGAACAGAAATGTGTGCTATTGACACATACTCTAGTATTTGGTAGAATTATTAATGAGACACTGCAGTATGATGAGAATTGGCATATTTTATATTTCTATAAAGTCAGTGCAGTTTAAGGTAATAGATTGTTCATTATATCATTTATAAATTATGGTTTTACCCAGGTGCCCAGCTGCTGTCGATGCGCATCAGACATGTGCCTCTAGATCCTATAACTATGAAAGTGGACATGAATGCTATGAAATCAATGATTAACAGAAGCACTTGTATGGTAAGTTTTTTATGCAGCCTTTATACTTTCTTCACAATAGCAGGATGGCCAAAGTTGTGACTTTCTCTGAACACCTTTACATGTTCCTCCATTTAGCCACTTCACTCCATTGTCTTAATCCTGGTTCACTCGGCGAGTTGCTGTTTTACAACTGACATAGATTCGTTGGACAGAGTGGCTTACCACTGGAACAAGCTCCCTACCATTGCAGGAACTGGCAAGGGGGGTATTCCAAACTAGGTGTTGTGTAGGCCACTCTGAAGACCTTTAGACTGTAAGAGTGCTGTTTCCTCAATTAAAAAGAATTGTATCAGCATTTAAGAAATTTCTTGCATGCCATAAAAATAACTTCCAGAAGTGTGTAACTACTTTATCATCCTACCCAGTGTAATATATCCAGCATTTTAAATATGGTACTGTTTTCCATAACTTGTTGAAATACAAAAATAAGATTTACATACTCATGCACAAATCTTAACCATTATACATTTTTTTTTGAACCGTACCTGTCAATGGTTCTACATTATGAAATCAAAAGAATTTATCCTTCATTGTTTTATAATAACTGGATTATTTCGGTTTAGTTGACAGGTTCAGCTCCTCAGTTCCCACATGGTGTGATAGATCCCATAGAGGAGATTGCAGAGCTGGGCATGAAGTACAACATTCCTGTTCATGTGGATGCTTGTCTTGGAGGCTTCCTCATCCCATTTATGGAAGAAGCTGGGTACCCTGTTCCACGGTTTGACTTCCGGTTGAAGGGTGTAACTAGTATATCTGCAGACACCCATAAGGTAAACCTCTTTCAATTATTTTTATTGTTTCCATTTCCTTTTTCTTTTGCTAAGTGCACAACTTGATGTGATTTAACTTGATGCAGGCCCCAACGTGGGCCAGTAATATGGTCCCAGGTAGGCTTATCCCCATAAAAAAATTTGTGTACAGTGTTTGTGAAAAGCAAAAAGAAATAAGCTTTAGAGAAAGAATAGTGTAATGATTGATTGTCAGACCAAAGCTTACAGCCCAGAATTATGTCACATATAACAGCGAGTACACCACAGACCTCGTGGTACCACCACATTCCGGGTTGACACACCTCAGGTCGACCCAAGGGACTTGACCTCGCCCGCTAATGACGTGAGCCGCGTGACCTACAACCGCACCCAGCCAAGACACCTGGCCAGGACCACACCTGCACACAATTATCCAGATCAAACCAGTTTAGTGTTAATTGTTAGAGGTCAGAAGCCGGCTGGGCCGACCCCATATAAAGGCCCTACAGTCCCGTCCACGGGCATTCGATATTCGATATTCCATTACGATTATCATTCTGGTTGCTGTCATCTCTCTCCCGTTCGGGTCGTCACTCGGTTCACTAAGCAGAGTCACGCACGCCCCCTCCCCAGGTCGGGAGGGAGACCTCCCGACCAGACCAGGCAGCCCAGCCAGCACTCACTGGGCCTACGTCAGGGTACACGTGAGTCTTGTCAGAACGTCCTAGAGTGAGTTACCTACTGTGGGAAGTGTATTCATTCAGGTGTGTCAGAGAGTCAGTGTCAAGTAACGTAAAGCATAATGTGTTAGTACCCCGATATAATAGTGATATTAATGTGTCCATGTCATTGAGTGAATTAATAAATAGTTGTATCAAGAGGTGTTTAACAAGTTGTCCCTTTAAAAAGTAATATACGTGTATTGACATACGAGATAAGATAAGCGTAGTGACGCTGTGCAAATAACATCCAGGCCACGCTACTAAGTTTCCTATCTTTACATTCCTACTCTCTATACTTCCTACTTATAAGTGTAATTCTCTTCTTGTGAGTTTTGTCTCATTATAATAGCATGTATGCTTACCTGTAATGATGCACATGTTTGGTAGTAAATGACCTTGCTGGCTACAGTGGTGGCAGATTAGATATCTGCTACTTCAAGAATTTTTTATCTTTACAGAGAAATATTGTAAATTTATGGGAGTCTACTGTAATTTTATTCAAAGGCTTCTGTACTCAAAATGTTTGTCAAAGAAGGCATTGTTGCAAGGTAATATTTTTCTCTGACCTTTCAGTATGGATATGCTCCCAAGGGCTCATCAGTGATAATGTACAGAGAACCCAAATATCGTCACCACCAGTTTTTTGTCACCCCTGACTGGCAGGGCGGCATCTATGCTACAGCAACAATTGGTGGATCTAGATCAGGAGGTAACGATAGACTTCCTGTTATTGTTATCTCAGAAAAAGCATGAAGTATATGGAGCCATGCTAGGATACAAATCAACTAAGGAGATTTTGCATGGGATAATTTGCTGAATAGAGGGAAATATTGGAGTTTCATTAGACATACAATAGCTAGATTTGTTATAGCTTTTAGTCTTAAATACAATACATTTATTGTAAAGAATGCTTATTATTCAGATAGAAGTTCACAGATTAAAAAGCTCCATAAAAATGACTGCTGCGTTCATTCAGATAGAAAAGAGAAGAATCTATGACGATTCATATTCCAAGAAAATATTTAGGAGAGAGAGAGATTTTTAGGTTACATCAGAGGCTAGATTGAATCAGTTAAGGGTTTTGATTCAGGGCAAGGCAATGTCCTATGTATGAATGGCCAGAAAGAATTTCTTTTCCCTATATCCTGGCTTGGCCTGTGATATCGAGAGAATGTGTCAGTTGGCCTTTCATTATAACGGAGCAGTATTGGGTAACAGTGAAGGTTACCTCATCTGATATGCAGTATATAATTAGATTAGAATTAGTAGAACAATACAGTTATATAATGGACATGCTGTTGCAGGGATTGTGGCAGCGTGTTGGGCTGCATTAGTGTATCATGGTCACCAAGGCTATGTGGACTACACCAAAGAAGTCATTCAAACAGCTAAGAAGATTGAAAATGGGTAAACTCTTACAATACTACATTCTTGCAATAAAGATATTTCTTTCCCTTACAATATCTTTATCCCATCTGCCAGTTTTGATCTATTGATAATAAATACAAAAAAGACCCTATGTAAAAAAAATTAAGAGGACACAATGAAGTTCTAACTTTTAATTGTCTTATTCTTTACCACAGATGTCGTGTCATCCCAGGGATCTTTGTGTACGGCAAGCCTGAAGTTTCAGTGGTTGCTCTCGGGTCTCACCAGTTTAACGTCTATGCTCTCTCAGATCAAATGAGCAAACGAGGATGGAATTTAAATGCTCTGCAGTTCCCATCAAGGTAAGTTTTAATTAGTGTCATGTGATCAAGAGTGTTCTAATTATCATAAGCTGGAGGTGGCATAAAGCGAGGGTCGGGTGTATATTTGTAAAAATGATGTACAATCCATAGGGAGGGTTTCATGTGCTGGTCGAAGCATGTCGTGGACCTAGCATTGACATCGCTCAGTAAGGTAGCCAGGTCAGGTAGATGACAGTCAATCAGGCTCCGACACGAGGAGAGGTGAGGTGCACCAGGGGTACATAAGCCTTTGACTTCTTCTACTTGCTGTATTTTTTCTGAAGATGGGTTCTGTGTTGTTGGAAATGTTAGAAAAATACAGAGACTCAGCTCAATCCATGTTTCCCTCCCACCCATCAAATCCAATTGTTGTCATAGATCGATCACATTCATAGGAATGAGTCTCTGAACTGACTTACCCTGACATATTCATCTCATTTGTCCATGCTGCTTCATTTTGGTTGGGAACAAAATTTTGACCCCAACTTACATTAGGGAATGGAATAAAAGTTTTAGTCTGTATAAAAATTACATCTTTGGGGGCCAGCATTGCAGTATAATTCTTTATTACAAGACCACAATTAACAGTAAGTTGATGAGCTTTATATTTTGTACATTATATTCATTTTAATTTCAAACTTGGGTTTTTGTCATGCTGGGCTTCCCAGTATCAAACATGAAAACACTGTCAAAAAAATCATGAATTTCTCTCGAATTGCAAGGCAACTTGTAGGAAAAATCCAGAATTTTATGGAAATTTTGATTTGATGTTTCAGGCTAATTCAATTGATCCAGAACCCTGGCAATATTGAATTTGCGAGTGTTCAGTGTACTGAATATGCTAGAGTTCATAAACTGGTTAAGTGTTGGGAGGCTTGTTCTTAATGTGGAAGTGTCGTAACCCAAATGTTTAATAACTGGGGTGTTTCTGTATCTTTTTTGTGACATATCCACATAGTATTATGGCTGCTAAATAAACATTGTGTACAGATACTTTGATAACAGTATTGTACTTCTATTATATTTTAGATCATACAGTACATAAGTTTATATAAAATTAAAAACTCCAAAATTGGAGGAAGCCCTCCCCCTGCATGTGTTTTGTACATGGTGCTTTTTTGAAGAAGAAGAAATTGCAGATATGTTTGTTTAAAGGTTAAGTTTCAGGCTCACCTATAAAATGGAATTTCAGAGTCTATCCTCATTTATGTATCCGTTTCACTTCTTTAATGTGTTTATAGAAGCTCATTTAATTCGTGTTATACCTTTTCTCCACCCATAGTATCCACATAGCTGTGACAGTTCTACACACACAGTCAGGGGTTGTTGAACGCTTCCTGAAGGATATCAAGGAAATCTCTGAGTCTCTCATGAAGAATCCCCCTAAAAATGATGGAGGGAATGTAAGTAGCATTGTCCCATAGTCTCATGTCTCTTGAATATGTGCTTAAAAAATATCTTTCTTATAATCTCTTTTACACTTTGGAAGATTATTTATTTATTCATGGGGTATCTGTAGGGAAAACTTTAGGGCTCTGGTTAGAGCTAGAAGAGGAGTTATTTAGATGCTGTTGTCTATCCTGCCAAGTGTGTATATGGGTTCTAAACACCATAGAATGAGTCAAGCTGAATAATAAAATCACCCAGTCCATTTTCCATAATCATGATTCAATGCACTCTAGGAATTACAGTTATACTATATATATACAGTAATACATAAACTAGAAATAGGATGCTTAGATATAAACCATTTTTCTATGCAGGCAGCTTTGTATGGGATGGCTCAGAGCATCCCTGATCGTTCTCTGGTGGGGGAGATGGCTTGGTGCTACTTGGATGCTGTCTACTCTACAAAAGGCAGCAAAACAGCAAAGAAGTCAATATGAAATAGTTTAGTCACCTTCTCATTAAAACCCATTATTTTCCACACTTTCACCTCAAAATTTCTGGTGAAATATAATTACTGTAGAGGGGGTTTTTTATGTTTGTGATTGAAAGTTACTAAAAAAAATTATGCCTCATGTGTAACACTGTATGAAAGAGAGAAATTGTAAAGAGGAACTGTCAGGTATTTATTATGATGATAATTGATAATATGATTAATGTATCTTTCTTTTATGTAGTTCATGTGTGTAACACTAACATGTTTTTGAGTAGGAGAATGGTTATATACAATGTATATTGACAGTGAAATATATATACACGTTTCACATAGGTAGTTAGGAACTCATAGATTGATAGCTTGGAATCAGCTGGTGCGGCCATATTTGGGAGAGATGCGCAAAGACATATTCTCGTTCACTGATCATACTCCCTCCCTCTCTCCTGCATCTCCCACAAGCCCGTGTCCTTCCATCCCCCATTCATTGTGTGTGTGAAGTGGTCTCTCTTTATATTTGTGTATTTGTATCATCCTTTCTGTTACAACTTTTGTAATGGCATCTAAGCATTCTGCTGAATCTTTGGCTACCCATATTATTCCGGAGAAACCACAAAAGGCTGTGACTCTTGAGACAAAGCTGGAAGTAATTAAGTGTCATAAACTCAGCGATGACCCTACTAGGATTAGGAAAGATCTTGGTCTGGCTACTTCTACCATAGCCACAATTTACAAGCATGTTGAAGAGATTAAACATATACCAATAGCCGGTTCAGGCATTAGATCTTTATTGATCCTTAAACACCATTTTAGAATTGAGCATAGACCAGGTGAATCACATACCCTCCTTCCTCCCAGTGGGTAATAGTGAAGCTGGCTGAAACTAAGAGTCTAAGCTTTATGACTCTCCCAAGGGACTGGCAGGTTGCACACAGGCTGTTGTAACATCACAACTAATATCCTTAGATAGTCACCACTTGCTATAAAACACCTTTTTTGGTAGAAAGTCATAACTCTATAATGAATTAGTCCCATTTAGCATCGTCTAGGAATTCCCCTGGGATTTTACTTCATAGACTTGGGATAATACAGTATTTGAGTTGGCTAGTTTGGTATAGACTCGGTCATAATTGGGTTATCAGGAGCAATACTTTATTTTCAGAAGCATGTCCTTTTATCTTTTTATTAGTTAAAGTTACTGGTACTTTCTAATAAGACTTTTATTATTATTATTATTATTATTATTATTATTATTATTATTATTATTATTATTATTATTATTATTATTTACTCTTAAGTTTTATTTCCAAATAACAGTACAGTACCTTTTATTTTTAAGATTTTTGCACCTAAGACCTCCACTTAAGTTTTAAGTCTGTTATTCATAACGGACATCTGACTTTTTTTAATGCGAGCTTATAACTTTTTTACTTGTTAACAATACCTCAAGTTAGAAGGGAATCAGTATTAAAGTATGTATAGTTTGTATTGTTTTGATGTGTTGCAAATGAGCAGAATTTCCTCTACATGTATCACCAATTAATAATATTTACTCCCTAAGACACTTGTTTGCCTATATTTTGTGGTTAATTCTTTCCTGTTGTTTCAAGGATTCTTCTTATCTGCTTATCTATCAGAAACCGTTTGTGATGAGCATGTGTGCTGTTTTGCTTCACTGATCAAAATTAGTTTAGAATAAAAATATTATTGCTCGTTTGTACAGCAACTTTAGTGGGTGGTGATACTAACACATTTATAATTTCAGTAAGACCAAAATCATATTTATTATTATCTTCTCCAGTCATCCAGTAATACATGCGGTATTGTATGCTAGTCAGTACGTATTTTTTTTATTATATTGCCTAAATATATAAGTAATATAATTTTGAGCATTTCTTAAGTTAATCACTATACAGTAATGATATAAGTAATATATGTTTTAAAATCACCTTCAGAATATTATCTTTGATTACCAGGTTTGGCCAGGAAAAATATATTAGGTTGAAAAATAATCTTCACATAATCACAGTACTGTACTGTACTAAATAGTATATTGAAATGTGCCTTGACATGTGATGGGTGTTAATATATTTAGTATTTTTATTAGTTAAAGCAAAACATTTATGGATGTAAATTACACAGTGTGTTAGAAAAGCTCATAAGAAACCTGATAAATAGAACCATTCCTTGTTATGAAATGTCACATCAAGAACATCTTTGCCACTTTCGTGTATGAAATTCTGAAACTAGTTACAGTGATGTGAGAACTGCGGCAATGGTTGTAGTTGAGTTGCCAATTAATATAATCTATTATTTAAGCAAATATACAAAATTAAACTTCTCATGATTTAAAATAATGATGAATAATTTATTATTATATAAATGCTACCATTGGTTTGTTTAATATTTATCCTGACAGTGATATAGCCGAAAATAGATCCACCAATCACCATACATACAGCCTTATTGTACCAAGTATTACAGGTAAAATTGCAAGTACGAGACTCAGGGTGGGGTCGCTGGATCTTTGGTTGTATCTGCAGCTGTAATTCTGTACGGGAACAAATTCAATGCAAGTACAGCTTTATATTCGATAAACATGGATATATTTGTCTGTTGAGATACCTATTGCATGGACTTTGATAAACTGCATCCAGAATTTCATCCATATGCTACAGATCCTGAGTCACAACATTTTCACACTCAATCTTGAACTGCTTTTCTATGAGAAACGATATTTGGAATGCATTGAAGATAGTCTTTTTACCTCTTCTGTATACTGTACTGTCCTATTTCACGAAAAACATGCTCAATTAAGAAGCTATGCTCCTCCATAGATAACATGGTCAACAAATCAGCCTGGAGAGAAAAACAAAATAAATATTTTACTTGTAGTATTGAAAATATTATAGAACTCTTCTACTACACAGTTGACTTTTCTAACACCTTGTATAAAAAAATTTTTATATAGGAAAAATTATATTTTGATACTCAAAATTTACATTGTGTAAGGCTGTTTTAGTCACAAAGCTTTTTTTTTTTAAATTGTGTTCCAAATTTATTCTAACAATTAATTAATACTGTGCAGTACATTAATAAAAATTATTAAAACTGTATATTATTTTACATTGTTTACCTGTGATATCATCCTTCATGAAAAGCTGAATTACAGTACAGTATATAATTTGTATTCCATGACAAATATTACTTCGGTGTGACCTGAATTAAATTAAAAATACTTAAAAATCCCTCAATTTTTATTACACTTAATAAAAAAACAAGAAGCTATTGATTTACAACATACAGAGATGTGCAGTTTATCATGACATGTTGATCAACCCTGTGCTTATCCAGTGATCCTTCTAAGGTAGAAATCCATGGAGCCTCCTGGAAGCCTTCAGGTACCCTAGCACCCATTGCTAATTCTCTAGAACCCTTAGGGTATGTGAACTATTTGCATACATTCGCTGTAAATAGGGATAGAAAAGAAATTAGCATTAGAAAAGCAAATTATTGAGATGATCTTTTGATCAAGTAATTATACAGGAAGTAAGGACAAAATGTCCAAGAGCACATTATTGTCAAGTTGAACAAAATCAGATAAATTAATTCTGAAACGGTAAGCCTAACCCCCTATATTTTCTGAGAATTGAAATTAAATGTTTTTAACTAATTATGTATTGTACATCCAGAATAACACATAAACACAAGCCTGATTTTGAAAAACCATAGCATTAGAAAAGAAATTAGCATTAGAAAATTAATTAAAATTACTGAGATGCCATTGGTTAAATTAATTAACCAATGGTATCTCAGTAATTGTGGACAACAAATCCTTAATCAGCATGCTGTAACAGGGCTATTTCTTAGAGTAAATTATATCATGTTTAAGAAAAAATATATACTATGGGAATTTAGTGTAGACTGTAGATAATATTCCCTCCAAAAAGCCAAGCTAGACAATGTCCCACCAAGCTATCAGTACTCTGAATGTGCCTACACCTTAACCAATCACTGTAACCTGTGAGTGTGATATCATAGGCACAGTTAAACTGATTGGGTGAGGCCTGGGAGTTTCATACCCAGCAGCAAGAGTGCTCGATTTTCAAACAAAGAGTCTGTGTCTGGAAGATTTAAGTGTAGACGTGAGTGTGGGTCGGTGGATTCAAAATGGCGAAATGTATAAGTATACCCCTTAGTAAATTCTCTTTACACGATGTTATATTGGGATTCTAGCTAGGAGTGTAGGTTATTGGTTTGAAGTATAATTGTCAATGAATAGAAAGTGTTAAATAAACGCGACCTTAAAGTGGGAGGATGTATGGGTGAGGAGGAGGTAGGGTGTGATGTAGGGTGGAGGATAGGGTGGAGGATAGGGTGTGGGAGAAGTGAATGGCACAAGGACAGGTGTGAGGAGTGCGGAGGATATGGGCAGAAGAGGGTGGGGAATATGCAAAGTGGGGAGGAGTGAGACATGAAATGAGGATATGTAGGGTGGGAGAAGCAGAGGTCAGGAGAAATAAGTGGGAGAAGGATGTGAGGAGACAGACAAGGTGATGGAGACAGTGTGGGGGAGAAGTGTAGAGGGTGGTAGGAGAGTGGGAATGTAAGAGAAATGTAGGGTAGTAGGGGAGAAGGGAGAAGTGTGGGAGGTACAGGGTATGAGAAGGAAGGGGTATGTGGGGAGGAGGTAGTGGTGGAGGAATGTAGGGATGTGAAGATTAGTGGGGGAGAAGTGTAAGGGGTGTGGGGAGGACAGGGGAGTAGGGGAGGAGGTAGGGAGAGGTGTGGGGAGAAGTAGGGTGTGGGGAGAAGTATAGGGGTAATGATGAGGGGTGAAGATTAGTAGTGGTGTGGGGAAGGTTAGGGTGGGAGGATAGGGGTGTGGGGAGGAGCAGTAGGGGTGTGGGGAGGAGCAGTGTAGGTGTGGGGGAAAAGTGTAGGGTGTGGGGAGATATGACGTGGGGAGAAGTGTAAGGGTGTATAGATGTAGGTGTGAAGATGAGGAGGAGGGAGGAGGGAGAGGAGGGTGTCAGAGGAGGGTGTGGGGAGGAGGTAGGGTGTGGGGAGTGATGTAAACAGGGGGTGGGGAGGAGCATAGGGAGGAGCAGAAGATTAGGTGGGGAGGAGTGAGGGGTGTGGGGAGGAGTGTGGGGATATAGGTGTGGGGAGCAGGTAGGGTGGAGGAGATAGTGTGGGGAGGAGGTAGGGTGGGAGAGGAGGCAGAAGTGAAGATGAGTGTAGGGGTGTGGGAGAAGTGTAGGGGTGTGGAGAGGAGCACAGGATGGGGAGAATGTAGGGAGGAATGTAGGGTGTGGGGATAGTAGGTGTGAAGATGAGTGTAGGGGGACATGTAGGGGTGTGATATGTAGGTGTGGGAGGATGCAGAGGTATGCAGGGCGTGGGGAGGATGTAGGGTGATAGAGTGAGGTGGAGGAGCAGGGGGTGTATGAGGAGGTAGGGGGTGTGGGGAGGAGAAGATTAGGAGGAGGTGAGGAGAAGGTAGGGTGGGAGGAGGTAGGTGGGGACATAGGGAAGGATAGGGGTAAGTGGGAGATAGGGGTGGAGGAGTGTAGTGGTGGGAAGGAGGTGTGGAAGATGTAGGGGTGTGAGGGTGTGGGGAGGAATAGGGTGTGGGGAGGAGGTAGGTGTGGGGAGGAGTGTAGTGGTGTGGGAAAGAAGTGTAGGGGTGTGGGGGATGATGTAGGGGTGTGGGGAGGAGTGTGGGGTGGGGAGAAGCAGGGGTGTATGAGCATAGGGGTGTGGGGAGGATGAGTGTAGGGGTGTGGGGGAGGAGTGTAGGGTGTGAAGACAGTGTAGAGGTGAGGAGGGGTGGGGAGGAGGAGTGTGGGGGGGAGAAGTGGGGAGGGGAGGGAGGGTGTGGGGAGGAGTGTGTGTGTGGAGGAGGTAGGGGTGTGAAGATTAGTGTAGGGGTGTGGGAGAAGGTAGAGGTTGAAGAGTAGGGTGTGGATAGGGAGGGTGTGGGGAGGAGGTAGGGGTGTGGGGGAGAATGTAGGGGTGTGGGGAGGAGTGTAGGGGTGTGAAGAAGGTAGGAAGTGTGGGGATGAGGTAGGGGGTGTGAAGATTAGTGTAGGGGTGTGGGGAGAAGTGTGGAGGTGGGGGGAGGAGGTAGGGGTGGGGAGGGATGTAGGGGGTGTGGGGAGGTGTGAAATAGTGTAGGGGTGGGGAGATGAGTGTGGGGAGGAGGTAGGGTGGGGAGGAGGTAGGGAGGTGGGGAGAAGTGTATGGGTGGGGAGGAGGGGTGTGGGGAGGAGGGTGGGGAGAATGTAGGTGTGGGGAGGGAGGTAGGGTGGGGAGGAGGTAGGGGTGTGGGGAGGAGGGTGTGGGGAGACAGGGGTGGGGAGGAGGTAGGGGTGTGGGGAGGAGGCAGGAGTGAGGAGAATGTAAGGGTGGGGAGGAGTATAGGGGTGGGAGGAGGTAGGGGTGTGAAGATTAGTGTAGGGGTAGGAGAGGGGTGTGGGAAGTAGGGTGTGTGGGGAGGAGGTAGGGGTGGGAGGAGGAGATGGGAGAAGTGGGGTGTGGGGAGGAGTGTAGGGGCGTGGGGAGGGGGGGAGAAGTGTAGTGTGGGAGGAGGTAGGGGTGGTGGGGAGGAGGTGTAGGGGTGTGGAGGAGGTAGTGGTGGAGGAAGTGTAGGGGTGGGGAGGAGTGTAGGGGTGTGGGGAGGAGTGTAAGGATGTGAGGAGAAGTGTAGGGTGTGGGAGTGGGGTGTGGGGAGAGTGTAGGGGTGTGACCTCTAACCTAACCTAACTTCAACCCTAACCCCAACCCTAGCCCTACTCCTGTAACCAAACCTAACCTAACCCAACCCAACCTAACCCAACCTAGTCAACTAACCCAACCTAATCTAATCTACTTAATCTAACCCCAAGCAGGTAGCATTCGCGTTCAATGTTCAGGTGAACAAGCTGGGGTGTCTAATCTCAGAAAAATGCTGGGTGTCTAATGTTCAAGTGAACAAGCTAAAGTCTAATCTTCAGTAAAAAGGTTAAAACAATGTTCAAGCAAAAAAAGCAGTGTCTAATCTTCAGTGGAATAAGCTCAGTACTAATCTTCAGGTAAAATAAGCTGGGTGTCTAATGAACAATTATTTTGTGATTATTGAGTCAATCATCGCACAGTAATTATAGCGAACTATGATGAAGTCGATATAACTGTGTTAAAAATAATGACCGTGATAGTGAAGTACTTAAGAGAGGTGTACAGGGTGTGGTGTAGGTCAGATCTTTCAGTCTCTAGCAGCTAACACACT